TGTAAAGAAAGGATTAAAAATTTTAAGATGTTCTAAAAAAAAAAAAAAGAATAAACATAATAACTTTTAAGTATTTTCAGTAAGAATGGCTTTCTGTTTATGAAACCAACCTCTTCCCTGCTCTGAAAGAAGGAATATTTTTGTAGCTGTGAATTGGGCAACTTGTCCTGTGTGGCAGGGTGTTTTATTGTGTTCACTGACAAGGAAAAAGAAAAGTTGGGAGAGCATGGAGAAAAAAACAAAAGGCTGTAGAATTTTTATCAGTGTTTAAATCCTCTTCACTTTTCACCCAGCACTTAGAGCAAGAGAAACATGAACTGAGAAGACGATTTGAGAACCGAGAAGGGGAGTGGGAAGGCCGAGTGTCAGAGCTGGAAAGTGATGTGAAGCAGCTACAGGATGAGTTGGAGAGGCAGCAGGTTCATCTGCGGGAAGCAGATCGAGAAAAAACACGGGCTGTCCAGGAACTGTCGGAACAGAACCAAAGGCTATTGGATCAGCTCAGCAGGGTGAGTCACAAATTAAGAATTTAAGGTATAAAATACTAAAAGTTGAAATAGGCTGGGCACGGAGGCTCACACCTATAATCCCTGCACTTTGGGAGGCTGAGGTGGGAGAATCACTTGAGACCAATCTGGGCAACATAGGGAGACCTCATCTTTACAAAAAAAATTTTTTTAATTAGCTAGGCATGGTGACACCTGCCTGTGGTCCCAGCTACTTGGGATGCTGAGGTCGGGGAATTGCTTGGGCCCAGGAGGTAAAGGCTGCAGGGAGCTGTGATCAATTATGCCATTGCACTCCAGCCTGGGTGACAGAGTGAGAGCCTGTCTCAGAAAAAAAAAAAAAAGCCAGTTGAAATAGAGCTTCTGTTAATGTAAGTCATGTAGATGATAAGAGCAATACTAATTTTTTATGCGTTTGTTTTTAACTAAGTATCTTTTATCTACAAGAACTTTGGTATTACCGAACTAGGGGCAAGAGCCAAGATGCATGCTTGTGATTAACAAGCCACAGACTTTGACAGTCACTTAACTTGGGAGTGTTCTCATTTTTAAAATGAAGGGGTTGTGCTTAATGATTTCTGACATTTTTATAGCTCTAAAAGTCCGTGATTCCTTTACCTGGAGAAAGTCTATCACTGGCAAAATTGTGTTAATTCATTTAGTTCAAATATTACTGTCTTTAAACTTTTTTTTTTTTTTTTTTT